CGTTTAGACTGTGACTATACGGGAGCACATTTTCAATTTTGTGTAAATTCAATTAGGCAACTATTGAATTCGAAATGAAATGACGATTGTTAACATTCTTCTGGAGATAAATTGATTTATGATTTACATTTGATTTGCTCAGATATAACAAGATAAAGATAGCAAAAATAATGAAAGTTACAGTATTTGTAATAATATATTTGAAAACGTTTATAATTTCTCGAATAATTCATTAGGGTACGGGAAGTTCCGGCAATTTGTCTTAAGACACGATGCCATACACCACTAGTTATTTATTTATTGATAACTTATTAGTATCTTACCGATTCCTTTGAATTTCAAAGAGATGCAAAAGTGATCTTTCAAATGGCGTCCCACGTCCAAATCTTTCAAACATCTTATTCCAAACTCTCTTAAATGTTTTTTAGGACCGACTCCGGATAACATCAATAATTTTGGAGATTCAACAACTCCTGCACTTAGAATCACCTGAAAAACAAATTACACTTACTCACTATTTTATTATACTTACTTACTATTTTCAAACTTTAGTAATAATTTCTAATTTACCTCCTTTCTGGCGAACACCAAATAGTTTTTACCGTTTTTCACGACTTCAACTCCGTTGGCACGTCTCAGTAAAGGATTTATCAGAACTCTGGTCACCAACGAATCGGTTGAAATTCGAAGATTGTTTGAAGACTTTTCCAAAAACGCCTGAAAAGCGCTGTGTCTCTTCCCATGTTCCGTGTTAATTTGTATTTTGGAAAATCCAGTCTGGTGGTCAGAATTGTAGTCGGTCAGTGTTAAATTTAGTTCACCAGCTGCGTCCAAAAAGGCTGTTTGTAAAGGAGTTTCAAAGCTGGACTCGTTGACACTGAGAAGGCCATTTGTGCCGTGGAATTTGGAGTTCATTAAATGGGGGATGTGCATGTTTTCAGTTTTTTTGAAGTAAGGAAGGACTTCGGAGTAGGACCAGCCATTATTACCTAGAGGTGAAAGATATTGTTAAATATTGCTGCTATGTGAACTAGGAAAATACTTAACTCTTCTTTGCATGATTTTTTCTATTTTAATAAAATAAATCAGGGTGATGTAATTAATGCTCTAAATTAAAGAAAAAATATTTTTAAAAAATCCTTATGTAAATAGAAGTATGTATTATGTGAAAAATAATATGATGGAAATTTTCATCATCATGCATTATCACATATCTAGCTCTGAACTATGTAAAATATATTGTTTACTCAATCTTCTTTACTCTTTATAATAATTTAAAAAACAATCATTATTTTCATTTAAGCACAAATTGATACCACATTTACTGCATTGGCCCATTGTAAGCATACTCTTTTTATATTCATCTCTTTCTTGAGCATTTTTTATAAAAATTCCAAAAGTTTATGAATATTTATAATAGCTGTATCAAATAGATAAAAAAATATGCAAATACCACTTTTTAGACCTCTTTGTTATATGATTTCTGCCCAAAAAGCTATCCATGAGATGAGATCAACTTCTCCCATATGTTTATTGTTCGAACTTTGGCGACCAGTATGATCTTGTGCCAGGAATTTTGATTACTAACATGTAGAATAATATACCAAATAACTTATGCAAATCATAATCTGTTTCTTCAAAAAACAACACAAAAATAACATTTACAAAAAAATCTTTGCCGTATATTACAAGTGGAACTACTGCATAGTGATGTAGGTAAATTTCCATCACATAGTTTTGAGAATATTTTTTTTAATTGTTCCCATTGGTTGCCCAAAAAGAGCAAGACGCGTGTTTTGATATAAATTGTTCATAAAACAACAGAAACATGAAAACAAACCCTTTTCTCACTCATTTTCACTTTACTGTAACCTTTTTTTCCAGTCACAACAAACAGCGAAATCACAAGTTCTAGTCCTGGTAATTAACAGTGACGTTTGCTATATTTTTAAAAATTGCATTTTGTTGTACGTAATAGTCGCTTAAAATGTCGCCAGCAATATCAAATTCACAGTATAAGAGTTTTTAGAACTTTTTTTTGTTGACTAAATATTATGATTGAAATTTCCATCGCCATGCAAAGAAGGGTTAAGCTAGATTATTTCCAGTTGGTACATAGACATCTTAGACAGTGCCTTATTTATAAAGTGGCTCACCAAGTTTTGCCCAGTTATCATAATCCTTTGGATTTCCTCGGACGTAATTGATGCCGTTTATAACACTGCTTCCTGAAATTAAATATATAATAACATTTGGCAACTACAGAATCTCCTACATCAATTATCAATAAAATAAGAGAGTTTGATATACCACTAATAATTTCTTAATTATTATTATTATTTTCTTGCATAAGACCATAGAGGGGCAAATATTAATATAAGAGCATCAACTATGAAGACAAATCTTTATCCCTCTGGTTCATTTATACTTTACCTCCTAATGCTTTTCCTCTTGGCATTTCGCAGACATTATTGGTGGAATAACATGCATATTTCTGCTTCTCAGTGCGATACTTCCAGTCGTACTTGGAATTTAACAGCCATTTGTTTAAGATAGGAATTCTGGTCAAATAATCGGGGATACCACCAGCTTCTATCAGTAGAATTTTTGCGTTTTTGTTTTCCGATAATCTTGAAACAAAATGCAGAAGTCAGACTATTTCGGGAGTATCAAATACAGTTTTTTCTCAATTGTATATTGTTATTTGTAATAATTTTAATTATTTCTTTTCTCCTCACCTGTGTGCCAACAAAGATCCTCCAGATCCTGCTCCCACGATGATAAAATCATAAACCAAATCCAATCTATCGACAGTCAGATCAAAGTTAGTTGGCTCTTCGTGTTTATCATGATACTCCTTGATCAGACGTAACGATTCGTTATTGTCCAAATCTTGACTAATACAAGTTGTCAACAAAATTGACATTACCAATATTGCTGGCACTTGGAGGCATCGAATCATGATTACGATGATTACTCACTATTTCCCCAAGTTTGAATAAAATAAAATTAATTGCCCAATGTTTGGATTTAAATACATAATTCTTATCACGATTGTCTATTGTGTTAAAACATTCATGCTAGTTTTTACCATTTAGTAGAACATGATGATAATGAAACTAGTTTTGAGTTTTATTAAAATGGCCATAATGAGTTTTTAATGGCTAGAGGACTAGTTTTGCATTTGAATTAATTATGTTTTGATTATTATATTTGTGGATTTTGATAAAAAAAACATTATGGAGATAAATTCTTAATATATAAGTTTTATAAAAATGTGTTAACTAGGTAGTGGCGGTTTGCCCTTAGGCAAGGTGAATGACTTCTTGATATGTGTAAATAATCGACTTAATCGATTATACTAAAACAAATGAGAATATACAAAACGTGCACGGTGCATGTCTTTAGGACGCGCCCTTAAATTTTTATAATTGCAGGCCGATATCACTATTATCAAACTTTGCTAAGGCATTTGAAAAAATTTTTGTAGAGAACTAATTCCTTCTGTTAAATCTTTAATTTCTACTAATCAACATGGATTCATGCCTGCTCGTTCTACAATTACGAATTTAATCAGTATTAAATAATATATAGCTGAGAATCTTGACACTAATAGACAAGTTGATGTCATTTACACTGACTTCAGTAAAGATCTTGACAAAATTGATCATAATATTTTTCTTACTAAATTATTTAACATTGGTCGTAATTGTTCACTTATTTTTTTTTTAAGAGTTATCTTCATAATCGTAAAAAGTTTGTCTATCTTAATGGATTCTTGAGCAATATTGAAAATATCAGTTCAGGTGTTCCTCAGGGATCCATTCTTGGCCCACTACTATTTATTATTTTTATTAATGACATATTTGAAATTATTAGCTGTCCACTTTTATTATTCGCAAATGATCTCAAACTATATCTCAAAATAAATTCTATTGATGACTGCTTCTTATTACAATCTCAGCTTGACTCTTTTCACTTTTAGTGTGTCTATAACAAATTACATTTAAATATATCAAAGTGCAAGATTCTTAGTTTTTCACATAAGCACGTTCCAATACATTTTGATTATAAAATCTCTAACACCAGCATTGATAGATGTAATAAAATATCAGACGTAGGAGTTTTATTTGATTCTGGTTTGTTTTTCACTGTTCATATAACTGATATTTGCAATAGAGCACATAAATCTTTAGGTTTGATACTGAGAAATTTTAAACAATTCAATTCAATTTAAATAATGCACTTCTTTTCTTTCTAATGTAAGTTCAAAATTAGAATATGGTTCGATCATTTGGTATCCTCATCAAATCAACAACTCTGATGCGATAGAAAAGGTTATCTGAAGGCGAAAATTTCTGAAATATCTTTATTATAAAACATATGAAATTTACCCTGAACGTGGCTTTGACCACAACACTTTACTAAAAGAATTTGGTATTTCTTCTCTTGCCTCACGTCGATTTATCTGTACAATTATGTTCTTATTTAAACTTTGCAATAATTTTATAGACTCGTCCTCTTATTCTTTACCATCTATCCTTTAATGTTCCAAGGTTATCTACGCGTTCACAATTATTTTTCAATTATCCTACTCCTAAATCTAATTCTCTCTTAAATTCGCCTATTTTACTTATGTCCTCTAACTTTAACTTAATTGAAATGAAATAGATATTGACAAAACTTCATCTAATCAAATAATCTCCATCTGCACAAGTTAACCTTTTTATTTTCTTTTCAAATATCTCATTATTTTTTCTTATTCTGTAAATAAATAATATTGTTATCACAGAATGTATTATATGTAATTTTATGTTAATAACTATATATTGTAATTTTGTATATATTTTAATTGTTATTCATTATGCAAAATAATTGTATTTTTGAGTCTTCTCAGTAGTCCCCTGAAATCTGTGGGCTATATATTTAAAAATAAATAAATAAATAATCAAACCGCTTTTTGCAGGCCTATAATATTCCATATTATTATTTTATTCTAGATGTCCATGTCGAGTAGTCTAAACGCTTCCTCAACTCAAGAGAACAACGCAGGAAGTGCCCTCAAACACACCAACAGTTTTGCCATACGTATCAATAAATCCTTAACCGAAACCCCTACAACTACCCAAAACCAACCACAATCATCCATTGTATACCACAATGTACCAACCACTATTAGACGACTTTCATCATCTACTTCTATAACGGTGTCACCAATCAAGGTTCATCATGATACACCTGTGAATGAAAAAGATGATCAGAAAATGGCATCTCTGATGCCTGATGCAGATTCTTTGACACCAGTTAGAAAAAGAGGCACTTCGACTGTGGATAATCAGAATTTGTCTTCTGTAGATTTTAATAATGAGGTTGCTGGTTATCTGACACCAGTTAGACGAAGAGGAACATCAACCAGTGGACAAGGAACTCCTATAAATAAGGATGTGGCTCGTACCAAAACGCAAACTGCATGTGTTTTGTCACCACATGGAAATCATCTAATGCCTTTGGCTTTTAATGGAGCGAAAAAGGTAAGAATAATCATATTCCAATACTTATGTATTCTATAACTAGATGACCCGACAGACGTTGTCCTGTACCCATGTCTACAAATTTTAATGTAATATACTTATATTTACCGTTTATCTAAAAATAATAATAATTGTTTTTTAAATTACTCTCCACGCCAAAATTGCATATACATTTATAATATGAGCGATGTTAAATGCAGAACTTCTTTAAATAAAATGATGAGTCTCAATTCCCACACTATATTGGAAATTGAAGTCTTTTAAACGGTATAATATAACCATAACCATAACATATAACACTGGTACTTCATGTTGGATTAAATTAATTCAATTGTTTATTAAGATATCCAAAATTGCATCTTATACTTCTCCTAATCGATATCGTGAGGGCCGAATTTTATGTATTCATCTTTGCTTTCCATTTGTTGTTATAAAGTGAAATTTTTACGAATTTTGAAAATATTGTGGAAAGATCAGTAAAAGATGCAAAGAAATTATATATTGAAAAAAAAAATTATATTGAAAATTTAATATCCGAATCTTGTATTCGCGCCCCCTAAGGCGTGCGCTCGTATTTTTCGCATGCGTCGCATTAAAAGTAGGACCGGCCCTGATTAATACTTAATTTCATATTTTAAGTGAATTAATTTGCCAAATCCTGTTCATATGTGTATCATTCAATCTGCCATACATACACTGTATTTTATATTATTTTAATTTCTGGCACATCTCAGCTGTCTTTCGGCAATAATAATGTAGACATTTCATTTTTTTTATTCACAATCATAAATTTATTATACATATTCTAATATTGTCTAGGTTCATAAGTGATGTGAAATTTTTGGCAGATGATAGTTTTCATTTGTTTTTAATGCAAACAATGACATGTCCAATTTTTTCTATTTGTTTCTACAATATTGCACATACATCCCAGTACTTTATAATCACATACATCCTAGTAAATTTCCTTAACAAACTTCAGAAAGATTTATCAAAATTCAAATAACCGTTTAGAAGGAGTATACAGTGAGTATTTGTAATTTAAAATGAACTTTATAGAATAGCAATAAAGCTCAAATCGATTCTACGTTTTAGTTAGAAAACGTTTGTATGTGAAAAAGAAAAGGGCTGTTTTCAGGGTTTTCACGGCAATTATTCGGTTTTTTCTCGACGTAAGACTTCAACAAACATTTAAAAAAAAGAATTGGCCAAATTGATCCAGGCGTTGTTGAGTTATGCGCTTACCAACACATTTTGCGATTCATTTTTTATATAAGATTATTTTTTCTTATCTTTGTTTAGTTACCATCATCAATGATTATGAATCAATTAGAGCAACCCATTCGCAGAACTTTGTCCTGGACTTCAATTGGCAGCAACAAAAGTAGCAAAAGTGTCCAGAAAGTTAATAGAAGCTTCAGGGATAAATATTTTGGCGGCAACAGCTTCGGGAAAGAAGCTAAATATAGGAGGTAAAGACATTCTTAAAAGACCTAATTCTAAATAATTATATGCAATGAATCAATTATTAATTGCAATTTATTTTTTAGGCAAGTGAAAGCTGCAAAAACTCTAGGAATCGTTGTCGGCGCCTTCTTGTTTTGCTGGAGTCCATTTTTTGTTTTGCTACCAATTGGTAAGTCGATAGAGATTACTATTTATTATTTTTAACTTCCCGTAGGGTAAGTTATTGTAATGGGCCGAAAATCGGAATTGAAAATTTTTACATTTCTCGACGTTTTAAAGGTTTCTGAACGTTTTGGCATACCTCAGAAAAAATGGATGTGTGTGTGTGTGTGTGTGTGTGTATGTATGTATGGATACAAATTTCCAGTCACGTTTTAGGGCGCACGGATCAACCGATTTGAATGGTTCAAAAAGCATTCGATTCCTATTGATTGGGAAAAGAGCTGATTAGTTTTTGGCAAAGGCAGGTCCAGCCGTTTCGGAGATACGGAGCAAAGAGTGCAGAAAATAGAAATCGAATTTTTGAGCGAACGGAGTATCCGATTTGAATGATCTAAAAAACATTCAATTAGTAATGATTGAGAGAAGTGTTAATTAGTTTTTGGCAAAGGCAGGCCCAGCCATTTTGAAGATACGGAGCTAAATATGTAAAAAATGGCAGTTTTTGAGAGAAATAAGCGTCCGATTTAAATGATTCAAAGAACTTTCTGCTTGTCTTAACAAAATAATTGATTTTGAAAAAAAAAATTTTTGTTCCGATTTTTTTTTTTTTTTTTTTTAGTATTTTGTATATCGAAAATATTTCAGATTTTATTTTTAATTCTGACTATAGTTCTAATATACTTTAGAAATAATTTCAACTCTGCAATTCGGTTTATATAATTCTTATAAATATTAGACAATGTTACAATATTTATAATAATCTATTTGAAAACATTCAGTATTCTTCGAACATTTCGTTACGGTGCGGGAAGTTCCAGCAATTTGCCTTAAGGCACGATGCCATAATTGCCTCAAGACAGAATTCCACTTACAGCTAGTTGGCAGTTATTTTTTATGTGTTGTATTTAAATAAATAAATATATTATGACGAGAAAAGGTTGAAAAAAATCTTCCTTTTGGAAGAAAATCTAGGAGTTTGCCTAAGCACTTGTAATATCTGTGATACTTATATGGGGCTCTATTTAATTGGTAATAATCTAGTGTATTTACGTCGATCAAAGCTCAAAATTTGTCACAAATACTTTTTCCAAATTTGGTGTGAAACTGTTTCAGAATGACTTCAAATATAAAGTAAGATTTGTAAAGTAATCAGATTTTCTGAAAAAAACATAAATTCCCGTTAATGAATATACCATTGATAAATTTGTATTAATTACAAAACATGGCACACATTTTAATAAATTTTACATAAATTTTGAAACAAACTTCCATTATAACAAATCTCCAAATTCTTCCTTCAATTTATATACCAAGGCGTATCATCTTCATGTGTCTTCTTGCCTTTATTTGATCCTAAAGGTCTTTTCGTCTTCTGGTGACGATCCAAAATTTCACTCAAGGTTGATTCATCACTTTCTGTTTCTGATTCTGATGTCTCATCTAATAAAAAATTAAAATACATTATCCACATGCTTCAATCTAATTTTTATTCTAATTAAGAAAGAAAAGTAGTAGAAGACTTAGTCTCCTTAAGGGGGTATTATAGTGTAGAAATTCAAAAAATCGATTTTTTTTTTAATTTCATATTTTCAAAGTTTAGCTATCTAAGAATATGGGTATGAGAAGGTTTTTGAAAATTTAAATTATTTTCGGTGATATAGGCATTTTACTGACTCGGTCTCCATACTGGTTTGGCAAGGTCTAATCGGATAAAAGGCATTAGGAAGTCATTAGAACAATTTAAGACAATTTATCGTCAGATGAATTATTGATTCGATGTATAGGTTCAGAAACTCAGAACAATAATAAATTTCTAAGCTCATTGATTTGGATTTTCGCTCCAAAACATATTCATTCCCGATCTCGGGTATTTGAAAAGCAACTTTTATTGCTGTTTGCATATTCAATGAAGGTTTCTTTCTGATTTTGAAAATGTTGACTCTTATGGTAATGTAAATTAAGTCACAAACTCATTCATTTGTTGTAAGACGATACAATGCCCGTATTGAACTATCTGAAATACGTACATCCAACGCTTCAAAGGAGGCTAGAAATGCTCCATTGGAAGAGAAAAATGCAAAAAATAGTTTTTTTTAAGAAGAAGGTTCGATGCATGAAGCAGGAATGGCAGATTAAATAAAAGAAGTATAACATATCATTTTATGACTTTGAGAGCCAATAACTTCACGCAAAACTTTAAATGCGTTTTTCACAGAACAGACTTTTTCAGTACCTGTAGACACGGTTTCTCGAGTTCTACTTGACCGATTCACTTGAAATGTTCAGAGAGTTTTGTTTATAGATCTATCTATAGCCCGAACTAGGATTATCCCTAAATTCCAATTTATACTATTTTTAAAAAATTTGGGAAACTCATAAAAACAGTAAAAAAACACTTTTTTTCAAACAATCGCCAATTTGTGAAAAAAAAATTGTTTTACTCATTGCTAGTTCGGGCGATTGCGACATCATTGTAGATTAATAATCTTTTTATTTCTTTTATTTCGGATGGCTAATGGGCTGAAATCATGTCAAGACTGAGGTGCCAATTTTTTGAGACTCCCCACTGCCAGTTTCTTCAATTTTCAACTTTTTTTTGAATTTTTGAATTGTATTTTAATAGCATTAATAAACAAGTGGTAAAAAAATGGATAGTAAAAACATTAATTGCTTTCTTTTACGACACTTTAAAAATGACCTAAAATTCATCGCTCTACACTAGAATACCCCCTCAAATCACGAATACCTGATTCTACTGTTATTGGTCTTGCACTCATGGATGTCGATATGTCGTTCTTCTTGGGATTTTCTGTTTGCGTTTTGATGGACCTTGCTGTAGAAACTAAAAAAAAAACACAAAATTGTATCCATGAAATTAAGCAAAACTAGTTGGTATTAAATTTTCATTTGGTATTTAGCCTTGAGGCAAGTTACATGAACTTCCCGATGTGTGTAAATAATCGACTTAATCAATAAAATATGAATTAATTTATGAGTAATTAAAATTATCCCGAGTGGATTTATTACACATAATTGAAAACGAACGAACACGTTAACTCGGAGTATTTTCTAAAAGCAAATTTCCAAAAATCAACAATTTTTATATTTGAACCAGTTTCCGTAGGACTTTGATGGTTTAGTACCAAGTAAATCGTCTAATTTTAATTTTAACAAACGTCAAAAAAACTACTCATTTTCTCAAACTTTGATGAATTTTTTAAATTAAACTACTTGTCGTAAGGCCGTAATATTTCAGTAAGTTCTATAAGACCCTGATATATATCGCTAAAAAAAAAGTTCCATAAAAATCCGCTTAAATTTTTTTTTAACAATGAAATACAAGAAAACGGCTCGGTAGATTTTCACCTAAAACTAATCAGTATCATTCCCAACTAATATCTTTCGAACGGTTTTTGATTTTTTTAAATCGATTCGGTAGTTTGAGCTTAAAGTTTGAGGACATGAGGACGAAAAATTTAACACTCTTTTCCAAATTTCAAAGAAACGGCTCGGCAGATCGTCTCACAAAACTGACAAATTATAGTTTTCATTGAGATACATCAAATGCCTTTTAAATTTATGAAATCGGTTCAGGCGTTTTCGATCAAAAGTTTAATTTTGTCATGCTAAAAAAACGATACTAATTTTTGCAAACTTTGACGAATTTTCAAAATTAAACGACTTGTAGGGTCGTGATATTTTAGTATGATCTACAAAACTATGGTATCTACCGTCAAAAAAAAAACATAAAAATCGACGATTTTTTTTTTTTAAAAAACTTATTACAAGAAAACGGCCCGGCCGATCTTTACCAAAAAGTAATCAGCACGATTCCCATCTATCGAACGGTTTTTGAATTTTCAAAACCGATTCAGAATTGCGCGCTAAAACCTGGACGAAATTTTTTTCACCTTTCTGCTATTTACAAAGAAACGGCCCAGTCGATCGTCGCACAAGACGCTAGTCCTCATCGAGATACATCAAACGGCTTTTAAATTTTTGAAATCGATCCAGCCGTTTGTGAGAAAATGTCGATTTACGGCAAAAAATCTGTTCACACACACGCACACACACACACATACTTTTTCCAAATTTAGTCTCATTCGATTCAGAATGGCTTGAAACGTCGAGAAAACATAAAATTAGCGAGTCGGATTTTTTGATGAAAACATAAACTTCTCCTCCTTCGGGAAGTTAATTAATTATCTCCCCACTTACCATTTTTATTCTGTTTACCAACAGGCATTGTGATCTTCATTCTCTTGCTTTTATAATTCATTGAACTCTCACTTTTACCCCTTAGTCTTTTCCTATTATTTTTGGATCCTGCAAGCTCTGCCATCTTCTTCAGTCTTACAACTTCACCCAGAAGGGCGTCGAATTCTTGACGAGTTGGTCTCGGAGTCCTTGAATTTCTTTACGAATGGTTAAATTAGCAAAATTGATTTATGGAAAATTTAAATTGGTTTGATGAATTCACCTGGTCCTCCTCCAAGTCTCAACTGCCTTATTGCACCTGACGCAGACATCTGCTCCACATTCCTTGCACTCGTATACAGTCATAGTAGATTGGTCCGTTGAACAGTTTCTGGAATTGGAAAATTATAGATTTAATCAATTCTGTATGAAACTTTATCAAACAATTTTGATAACTTTTCCTCTAGATTCGTCCACTTACCGTGATGGTGACCTCTTTTTTTGCAACTTTTTATCATCGTCATCGTCCAAAAAACCACAAGCTTCGGAAATTTTTTTGCGAATTAAATCATAATCCCTTTGTCTCTTTGATCGATTTCGTTCATGCTTGTATTCACGGTCTATAAGTTGTTGCTCGTTCATTTTTTGTCTGTTTTTCTAAAAGAAACATATTGAACTAGTTGGTATTGGTGTTTTGCCTTGATGCAAGTTACATGAACTTCCCGATATGTGTAAATAATCGACTTAATCAATAAAAAATAAATTAATTTATAAGTGATTAAAAGTATTCCGAGTGATTTATTACACATC